TATAATAAATTCTTGTAAGCTTGTTATTTTCATTGTTTACAGAATATTGTGAAGATAATAGAAATTTAGATATCGTTGGAAAATGATCTGATGTGTCATGAGCGATCGTAGTAAATTCCAAACAACAGTCCAGCATGTACTCGGAACATATTGTTAAGTCTACAGTAGAACTACCATTATGTTCAACACATGTAAATTCTGCTGGGTAATCCATTTTAATGCGTCCGTTTAAAATATATAGTTTATTATCTTTTGTTAATTTTATTAAGTTTATTCCAAGTTTATTAGTAGAATTGTCTTTGGATTGTCTGATATTTTGAATTTGTTGATTAGGACCACTATAATATGAATCTGTCATCTCAGCAATTCGTGCATTAAAATCTCCTAATAAGAGAGTATATGGAGTAGAATGCTGCCAAAGCTCCAGTATTTTAAATATTTCATTAAGTTTTGCCAGACAATTGGGAGGAATATAGGTGATCATTATTATTAATTGTTGATTATTTTCAAATATCGGTTTATTCATTGACAGTAAAAGTAGTATATAGTTATCAGATTTTTTGATTTGTTGTATTTTGCAAATTTGTTTTTTTATCAGAATGCACAGCCCACCACTTGGACGACCTGGTCCAGAAGGTTTTATTGCTGGAACTGTTATTGTTATATATTTATTGAAGAACGTTGAGTTATAAAATAAATCAGATGTAATCCAAGTTTCGGTTATGCCTATTATTTCAGGATCATAATTTAATTGAAAATAATTTATTGATAGGAGTTTATTCTTTAAGCCTTGACTATTCCAATTTAAAACTGTAGTCGGATGTATATTTTTAATTGTTTTCTCTTTGTGAGGTTTATTTTGTTGTAAATATCAACTTGATAATTCTGAGAAAGGCTGAAAGGTATCCACGTAAACTAATTTTCCTGTATTGATACTAAAAGTTAATCTATTGCGGTCTATTAGCAGTGTGTCGTTGCGTAGTTTAACTGATTGGTTTTGTTTTCTTAATTCATAATATATTGGCAATAAATGTTTTCTTCTTTTACGTGTTTCTTTAGTAAGATCAGGTGCTATCTGTATATTATCCCAGTCTTCCATTAATTTATGTTGTTTCTTTGAAATGAAAGCATTATACATTTGATCACGAGTCTGTTTCGTACTAAATGATAGTTTTATAATCTGGTTGGTTGGTTTGGTTATTTGAATTATATCTAGGATATCATCTTGAGTTACATTATTTAGGTTTAATGTTAAGTTAATGAATTTAAGAATTTCTGGTTTGGAAATGCTTTTTGACGAAGGATAGTTGTATAATACTATATTATTATAATGACAGTCATTAATTAGAGTATCCATTTTATACTGTATCAGTTCCTTTTCAGATTTTAAATTGTCAATTTGAATTTTTAGATTATCTATTGAACTTTCCATTTTTTCAAATTGAATTTTATTTTCCCGTATAGTACTGTGAATTAAATTCAGTTCTTCTTTTATATATTCCATTTGTGTAGATAGTTTATCATTAGAAGTATTAATCAGTTCAGATATCCTGTTCCATAAATCTGCTGTTAAAGTGTCATTCGAACTTATTGGAGTAGATGAATTAATTATATTGGACTCACCTGGAGAGCTTTGTAGATTTTGTTTAGATATATCCGTATGTGGACTATTATTTGCCATAGACAATTCCTGTAATTCTTTATCCATTGATAAATTGTAGTCTGTAATGAGCTTGGAATTAGATGTACCTGGTTGCATCTTTTTGCTTTCCGGTTTGCTTTTATTAGTTGGCGGTCTACCACGTTTTACTGGTGATCGTTGCATACTTATTAATTATTAATTTTCTTCGAACTTGGTTATTTCTTATTAGTATTAAACACTTTTGGTTAGTTCAGATAATAAAATTGGAAAAATACACTAAATTCTAGAATCACTTCGAGGTGTAGAAACAAAGTCACCAGCAGCGCTCACGGTCAAGTCACGCCCCCCGAAATATTTATGTAATTGATGTTATGTTTTCGGGAACTAAACATTCAGAAAAAAATTTAAGAAGAATTGAATGAAAAGCTTAATTTAGGTCAATCTAGACCAGTGATATCTAACCGAAATTGTTTACTGAGCCAAAATCAAAAATAAAAATAAACTGTTAGCCACACATATTTGTTTATAACAAAACATATACAATTATACAGTGTTTTGTATGTATTTTAATGTAAAACCTGCTTTTTCAATTTTTTTTCACTTAATTTATTAATGTAAAGAGGTATTTTTGATGTTGTACAACATAATTGGTTTTTTTAAAACTTATATCGGTTAATCTATTACGACCTTTACAGATAACAATCTTTAATTCTGAGAAAAAAGATTTTCATAGATATCTGATTTCCATTTGGTTTAGGAAATGTATCATTACAGACGTATTTTGTATAAAACTGACCTTAGTTATTAGTCTCAAACATATATTTCAAATCAGAAGATAAATGGAGGTCTATCAAATCTATCTGCAAATTTGTTAAATGTTGTTCCACAACGTTGTCAAATGGACATTAATTATTAAATATATTCTTATAAATTTTTAAATATGAAAATCTTTCAATTCTCTTAGTAAATTAGTAATTTCTTGTGCATATTTAGAAAAATGTTTATGTAATTTTGAACTATGAATTGTAGTTTTTTTATTTTAACTGACTTTCATGAAGTTTGAGTTTTGCTAAGCATCTGTATTTCGATTACAGTCTTTGATCAGTTTGTTTTACCTTGAAGCTGCTTATTAAGTTCGTTTAATTTCATTGTGATATTAGTAAGGAAACATAATTCTAAAACCCACTGTCTATCGTACAATTTAAAAACAGCCTGGTCCTTTTCATTTATAAAAATTCAAATTTCTCCATCCAATCGGGCGCTCATGTCTTCTAAACATCTCCCAAGGCACTTAACCGACCACCGCAACCCCGGCAAGGCATATATAGATAAACAAACATTATCACTAAACCCTATATACTTTAAAGCAATACACCAACCCAAGCCGAATATTATCGGGCTAGAAACGGCTATAATATTTACAATTTATAAGACAATTCGGTATACAATTTGCAGGATGTGGACGCTGGATATATCCCCAACCGCCAATGTAATGACCGTCGATGATCGTAATGTAAGCTTATATATGCTGGAAGAGCTTATATCTGCATGGTAAGCTAGGAGTTGCGGGTTCGAGTCCTGCTCAGNTTATCCGAGTAGTATGAGTCACAAGTTCTCAATACGATCAATGTCCGCTGATACATTATCTGTACAGGATATGAACAGCAATGATGACCAGTTCAATTTCTGATGCACTTTCACAATTATTGGAAAAGATAGTGAGGTTTCAGCTGGGCATAACGCCACACTGGTGGGCGATATGCCCAGCTGAAACACAATTGCACAATCATGCAGAAGAATTGCTCAGTCCGACATTATTGTAAGACATTGTTATAGGACATTGTTGTTTCTGACTCAAAATTTACAAATTGAATTTTAATATTTAAATGAAACTTTAGTTAAAATCAAAAATGGTAAGTGAAACTATCACTTTGTTTTCTAAAAATTGTTTATGTTTGATGAACACTTATTTAATTGCGAAAAAATTCGTAATTCTAATGCCACATCGTAAAAATACATAAACTATATTTTTCTAATATATTTTTATATAACTAGAAAATATTTATGATAATAATTAAAAAAAAACTATCAATTTTTAATAATTATATTACGAATATTTTATTTTTTAAAAGGATAAGAAACATCAATGTAGTGAATGTGGGAAAACATTTTCTAAAAAATGTCTCTTAGACATTCATATCAGAATTCACACTGGTGAGAAAACGTTTCTTTGCGAAATTTGCGGAAAAACTTTTTCTCAGTATGGAACTTTATTTAGACACAGAAAAATACATTTTCGAGAATTCGAATGCAACTATGATGGTTGCGATTTCAGTACAGACCATTATTTCAAATTGATAAGACACGTGAATCGAGAACATTTACAAGCAAAGTCTTCTCAAGTAATTATGTTTACTTTTTCATATTCATGTAAATAAAATTTATAAAAATATATTAATCATAATCATACGATAGACTATATAAAAATTTTAATTAATTGTATATTTAATAAAAATGAGGCAGTGATAATTAACAGTGTAAGAAAAACATCGAAAAATATACTTACTATAATTTTTAAAGTTTAAAATATTTTCATCGTTACTGATATGTTATTTCAAACTATAATTCAATATCTAAAATTAATTCATTCAAATCGGTTAAATTTTCACTAAGAAGAAGTCTGATAAAAAATATACAACAGGAAGTACGATAAAGATAAATTTATATATTGTTATTTATATACGTAAATAAAAAAAAGCGTAAAAAAAGAAATAATGCAACATTCCAAATACAGTATCTTTAAAACATTACCTGACAGGAACTTGCACATTATTCATGAAGCGCCAGGTAGCTAATTTTTGTTTAAGTGAATAAACATTTTATAAATTGATGTGCTATTGCATCTATTGCCATTAACAAAAGAAAAACAATTTTAATAAGTAATTAAAAAGATTTCTCTGAAATTTAATTTTATTAGATTAAAAAAAAATGAAATATATTTCTGTAAGCTTTGTACAAAATTTTCTTAATTTCAACTATAGAATGAATTCGCCGTATTGAATCACAGGTAAAAATTAGGAACTAACTTTAAAAAGTCAGTTTGAAAATGAAGAATATACGTAATGAAAATTTATATGAAATGAAAATTTTGTATGAAACATTAATATTTCAAAATTAAAATGTTTTAGTTAAATATTTAATAAATTTTAAGAAAATTCTATAATTAGAGTTCATCGAAAGAACCGAATGAAAGAAAACATCAATGTGACAAGTGCCCCAAAAAGTTTTTATATAAATCACAATTACAAAGACACGTGAGATCACATACAGGAGAACGACCATTTTTGTGTCAGATCTGCAAAAAGGCTTTCACACAAAAGGCACATTTAAAAGGACATATGGCATTAATGCATTTGAATGAGGAAACTGTATCTTTGTCTCAGGTATTTAAATATGTAGTTTTTTTTATAGATTAACTTATATTGCAATAGATTGTGACAATTTAGAAGTATAAAAATGAGTTAGGTTGGTTTTGGTATTAATATAAAAGTGTTTTCTGTTTTAAATGTTACATTTGAAAACTTTTTAAAATATTGGCCATTTTAATCAAAATAGCATAATACGTTAATCAGTTCAGTAATCAATGATTACTTATTACAAAATTTACTTATGTAATTTTGTGTAAAGAAATTTAAACATGAACTATAATTGATGTAAATATATATAATGTATTCTGTTATAAAGATATTATTTCAAATATATTAATTTTATTTATTACAAAGTAGTTTTTTATTGTAATTTTTTCTGCGATAATGATAAAACATATAGATGTTCGAAAAATATAGATTATTTATATTATTTTTTATAGCACAATAGAATGTTACAGTATTTGACAGTTACATAAAGAGTTAAACACAAAATACATTTATTGTGATATCCCAAAAATATAGATAAGTTTAAACTTTGAGAAATAGTTCATAACATAGATTGATGAAAATTGTTTTAATATGAAATAGAACTGCTATTATATTTAATGAATTCCAAATTGCAATCAGGCAATGATTAAATTTTGTTTGATTTCTAGATTCTTTTCAAACTAGCACTCAATGCTATATTGTTTCAGATCAGGTACCATTGTAAAATTCCTGTTGTTATCATAAATTATCCGAGTAGTATGAGTCACAAGTTCTCAATACGATCAATGTCCGCTGATACATTATCTGTACAGGATATGAACAGCAATGATGACCAGTTCAATTTCTGATGCACTTTCACAATTATTGGAAAAGATAGTGAGGTTTCAGCTGGGCATAACGCCACAAAGGTGGGCGATATGCCCAGCTGAAACCTCACCATCTTTTCAATATATAAAGCTGAGCACATTTCACAAAAATTTCAGGTACAGTACATTGTATGCTGGGAGTTCTTTGCCTATCAGTTTATCGTACTTTGTCCAATGTTTTTTCGGATTCAAAAAAGTCGAATAAATATGATTATTCTTCTCTCGCTGTTTCTCTAATACCTGTGGTCCGTGGACCACTGGTGGTCCCTGAAAGCACCCGAAGTGGTCCGCGAAAGTTATCCCAAAATTATTAAATAAATGACGACGCGTTGATGACAATGCGCAGTACGTCAAGGTTAGAGCCGATAGCGGATTGGGCTGGGGTATGGTGCGCGGTCAGAAAATATGAAACTGGAAGTCACTAGCAATAAATTTGCATTTGAAGATAAAATCAGTGCGTTTATCGCTAAAATCGACCTATGGATCAGCAAAGTCGAAAGAAAGAATTTTTCTGCGTTTGATACATTGAACCCCAATTATTGATTGACAGTGTGCTGAGATTAAAGGACAAATACAAAAGAACATTACATTCCATTTGCAAAGCTTGAAAAATGAATTCAATCGCTATTTTCCTGACTGCAAAGACAAAGGTATTCGGAAACTGATTTGCAATCCTTTCATAATCAACATTTCTGAGGTGCCGAATGAAATACAAGAAAAGTTAATTGAAATGCAACATGATAGTAACTGCAAGGATACATTCTAGACAGGAATTAATCTTAAAGATTTTTGGAGCCAAAAAGCTATTGCTTTCCCTAAAATTCGAGAAATTGCTTTACAGTGCCTAACTTTATTTTCAACCACATATTTATGCGAGCAAGGATTCTCAGTGCTTTTGATAATTAAAAATAAACATCGAAATC